AAGCAAACACATAGAGCGCAAATACCACCTTATCAGAGATATTGTGGTAAGAGGAGAAGTTTAGATCACCAAGATTGCATCAGAAGACATAGGGTTGTCAGAAAAACCCACCGGGTCGGGTTACCCGCGGGTAACCCGAAAAATCGGGTCGGGTATACCCGGTAGTGGCGGGTTTCGGGTCGTGCTTGGGATTTATTTCTATACCCGCGGTCCGGGTCGGGTCGGGTACGGGTTTAACAACAAAACCCATTACCCGACCCGTTTACCCGACCCGTTTACCCGGTGGATTTTTTTTACCCGACTCGACTTTTTACCCGCCCGATTACCCGTACACCTAATAACTATAGATACAAATAAATATACAAAAAATACATATTCTAAAAATATTAATTTAGTAACTAAAATATTTTTAAATTTTTATATATATTGAAGAATGAAGATGGGGTATATTCATATAATTTGGACATAACTTTTTGTTACTTCTTATATTTTTATAAGTATGAGCATCATATATATAAATATAATCAATTTATAATGTTTATACAAAGAGAATAGCTCTAATTATTAGAAATAACATATATATAATAAATAATAATAAACTAGATAATAAGTTTATACGTGCATAGTTTGTTCTATATATCTACATTTTTACGACTATTACAAACTATGAGTAACTAAGTATATTCAAGTAATATTCTATGAATAAATCAATGAAGTTGTGTTTATTTGTGAAGGTATGATAAAAGTTCAAATGCATGCGTTTTTTTATGTACATGGCCGGGTCGGGTCGGGTCGGGCCGGGCGTAGGTAATCGGGCGAAATTCGGGTAAACGGGTAGAAAAAACCCGAACTAATTTGACCGGCAATACTTATTCGGGTAACCCGATTACCCGACGGGTACCCGATTACCCGACGGGTAAAACCCAACCCGAACCCGGTGATGAGTAATCGGGTAGCGGGTCGGGTACGGGTACAGTTTTTAACTGGCGGGTCGGGTACGGGTATGCCAAAACCCGCACCCAACCCGACCCATTTACATCCCTAAGAAGACAACCTAGCTGATCCTTTTACGAAGAGTTTGCCGGAGAAGGTCTTCGCTA